GCGAGCGTTGTTCGGGAGACAGATTTCCATAGTTCAATCTCATACATGCGCTTCAGAGTTAAGATTTAGACTTCAGTTTGAGATTAAACTATTGAACTTCTGTCTCCTTTGTTCGTAACTCCGGGCCAAGTAGAATAAAATCTCTGCATTCCTTAAGAATGCCGAGTTGTTTGCAAGTAATGGAGGGTGGTTGGGATTAGGGACCGGGGCGGGTCTCGTGCGTAGTCACCTCCTCGTGGTGAGACCTGGTAATTGATATCGTTTTACAAACATTAAAATTTGTAAAACGTTAGAAAGCTACATTGTCAAACGATAAACTTTAATGTTTGTAAAACGATATCAAGCTAAGAACTACGCAACTTACCGTTCAGTTTAGATCGTGCAAATTTCTTTCCTTTCTTTATTTCACGGTCTAAACTGAACTGTAGATACAATTAGTTGATAAGTAAACTATTGGGCCCCCAGCGGACCACCAATAGACGACGGAGGATCTCGCAGGGACATTGTGGGATGCGTGCGCCTTAGCTTTAAGTTGCGTGCGTTAAGTTTAGTTTTAGTTAATTATAAGATAGTTAATATTTGTAAATTCACTGTGAGCGTACATTCTGTACAAAGACACGTTTGTTTAACTTGGAACGAAATTTGGGATCCCTTCTCTCCGATCTTTTTCTTTATTACTATTGTTACTGTCATTGCACTAGAGTAGATTTTTTAACTTTCATTGTCAGTGTATCAAGTCGTTGAACTGCAGCCTCATCCGAAAGGAGATAGGTTCTTATAGTCTAGCGTCCTTTATGATTCAGATCCAGTGGTTCCAAAGAACCCCACTGTGCCGTTGGGGGTAGCGCTGAACTACTTGCCTCTCTAAATGCTCGAACCCCGATTCGGCACACTGACAAATCGCTGTTTCATTTCACGTTATATCTTTTACACGATATTGAAGCGTGTCAATAGTTTCGTTTCTCTAATTTCGTTTAATAAACGTGTCTTTGCTACAAATTGCGCTGGTAGGGCTGCGAATTATTGTACAATTATTGTGTAACTTAAGAGTTAGATATGTATGTATGTTAGTATGAAACGCTGTGAGTGAATGCGAAATATTCTAAGACTTTCACTTGTATGTATTGTATGAACTGTATGAATTGTATGAATAGTATGAACTGTATGATCTGTATGAATTGTATGAATTGTAAGAATTGTATGAGTTGCATGATTGTGCGACAGATGAACTTATTTTTAAAGCGACCGTTGTTTCGGAGACAGAGTTCCATAGTTCAATCTCATACATACGCGTTAAAATTAAGACTTAAGTTTGAGATTGAACTATGAAAATTCCTTACTTATGTCTCCTTTGTACGTAATCCCGGGCCAAGTAGAATAAAAACACGGCATTCCTTAAGAATGCTGAGAATCCCAATGTGTTGGGAGTAACGCTAGACTACTTGCCTCTAAATGCTCGAACCTTGATTTGGCACATTGACTGCGAAATTTGGAGACGCGAATTCGTTTCGCGTTGTATCAATAGTTTCGTTTTCCTCATTTCGTTCAAAGTTCAATAAACGTGTCTTTGATCCAGAATGCTGGTAGGGCTACGAATTATAGCACAATTATTGTGTAATGTCGATACACTTGTATCTTTTGTATGAAGAGCTGCTTATAATGGCGACTTATCGTTGCCATATATGATTTGCTTTTGTATGAATTGTATGATTGTATATATTGTGTACTATATGATTTGCAACTGTATGTGCGATTGTACAATTATTGTGTAACACTTACCTAACTTGGAACAATATTTCCCAAATATTCCCAAATGCATAACAAAGTATGGTCTCGCGTATACTGTCACCTTTGGATATGTATTATCGTGTGCTTATAACAATTTCTTGCACTGTTAAACTTGCTCTATTGATGCTCCCTTATATGTTGCACTGACAATGAGTGTTTGTCGGTTATAAACTGCTCGGTTTATATAGTCGCGTAAGAGCGAGTGTTTGGCTTGGGTACATTCTCCTCGGAAAATTCTTAATCTGACGAGTTTGAGATTTTTGAATGCACGAAAATATGTATTTTTGAACAAGAGTGAGTTTGTTCATTCCGCGCAATAAATGCAAATTATTGGTGTAAATAATTAAAGTTAATTCATATGCGTATAAAGTGTTTAGTTCCTCCAGTTTACCACATCGTGGCGCTAGTGTTTGTTATGTATTTTACTCCTTTAAATAAATGTATTACAAGATTTAACAAGAAACTGTAACAATAACTATTTATTAATATTAATGTTTAACAAGATCCTATAACGATCGTTTGCTTTGATTGATTACTAACAACTAAAAATGCAAAATATTCTCTGCTTTCTTATTTTCTTCATTCCTCATTTTAAATCAGCGTCGCAGCTGTCAAACTCGTGCTTTTAAATACTCGCGCCGCCACAATCCAGTGATACAAGACAAATTTTCATTTGCGAAGAAAAGTAGCTTAGAAAATTAAACTGCAAACTTTTGTAATTTTATCCTGTTAATTTGATCCCCAGCTTGTTTTCTATACCTAATTTGAAGCGTAAAATGCGCAAATAAAAATTTCGAAAATAATTAGTACCTGTAACTTGTCGATAGATGGCGCCACTATGTCAAAAACCTGAAGGCGGCATCTATTCCTGCTCAACTATCTCGTCGAAAGATACATTTTATACATATTTACGGCGCCAACTTTATGAAATTCGAAGACAAAAGACCATGAAAAATAGCCAGTCTTTTAACAGTCACTTAGAAGATTTATAAACAATCGTCAGGGATATATGTAACGGTCGCCAAAAAGATATAACACAGTCGTAATATTCTGTATCTTGTACACGCTGAAATAAAGTACGAAATTTCCTTTTGTAGTATGGTGACTTTATCATTTACCAGTTATCGTTCTTACAAAACTATAGAAGTTTATTCCTTTGAATAAATATATTACGAGATTCAACAAGAAACTATAACAACAACTATTTATTAATATCAATGTATAACAAGATCTTATAACCGTTTGCTTTAATTGATTATTAACAACTGAGAATGTAAAATATTTTCTGCTATCTTACTTTCCTCTTTCTTCATTTTAAATCAGTGTCGCTGCTGTTAAACTCGCTTTTTTAAATACGTCGCCACAATACTCCAATTTATTGTTGGAATACATTTAATTTAATTATTTTACATATATTGTATTTAATTTTAATTTAAAATTAAATGCAAATAAATGTATTTTGTATTTAATTTTATCGTATATATTTATTAATTAATTTTAATTTAATTTTATCGTATGTATTTATTGTAAGGTAATGATACAATATATTAATATATTAACTTTTGTACTAACTCTTCATTGTATAAAGTATATTTTATATTTATTGTATTTAATTATATTGTATGTATTGTATGTAACTTTAATTTATTGTAATATAGTAATATAATACATAATACAATATATTGATATTAATTATTAATTAATAAAGTCTTTGTTGTATAGATTATGTATTATGTTTCATATTTAATTATATTTCATGTAAATACAACAACTTACATTCATATACTGCATATTATGCATAAAATTTATACTTTTATGTTGTAAATATTGTATTTATTGTACATAATTTATAATTTATATTTACCATTTTGTTCTCTTTTTATCACACAAATATAGTACCTGTTCTAATTCAAGAAGAGAATTCGATAACGATACATTGAACAACAATAGATTGATCGAGTATCTATCAGCGATACTCGAAAACGTTCGAGACTAATCGATACGCCGAAAGAGTAACTTGAACTTGCCGTCAAGTACTGCTCACTTCAGTTTGCTTGCTTCTCTCATTCTTGCTCTTTCTCTCTTTCCTCTCGCGCGAACGTTACGTCAATTTTCTTTGACATTCCTCTGTGCATCTTTGCTCCACCTGTCACGTTTCGAAATACTATCCCTCTGTTTGTCTCAACATCGAATCAATGATTTTCTCGAGGGAAGAAACGTCCAATTTCGGCTGATCGAACATGAGTCACGGAAGTCGCACGAAAACGTCTGTCGAGGGATCTTTGTAGTCGCTTGGAAGTTCGAGCAACACGCGAAACGATTTCGAAACCTAACATCCTGAAAAGTATTGTCGTCAATAACCGCTGGAATAACGGATCACATCGTCGTCGCAAACGATCGTAAATTCTTGCGCCAAGTGTGTCAGTCGGTGCGTGGCTCGAAACTTTCATTTCTTATTGTGTAGGGAAACACGGTGGTGTGGTAGTCACAGTGCCTTGAGATAAGACGCGAACATGCACCTCTCTGCGAGAAGTGAAAGATTGAAGTTGGCTTGCTGCACATCGCGCGAAGCAAATTAACCTATGCAAATTGAGTCACCCACAACAAGAATGTCGCATTCAGTTCAGTGGGACGAGAACGACCTCGAGATAATGCGCGTCTTAATGGATCTGGAACTGCTTTGAATTACCGAGCGTTCTTCTTTATCTGCACGAAACATCGCCTGCACATCAACGTCAAACATGTTTGGCTGTCCCAGAGAAGCCGTGCGCGTCAAAGTGAAGGTACAGTTTGTTACATATGTATTATACAACTCACAAGGTTTGCACGTTTCACCATTGCACCGACCTTGCATGAAATTTCAGCGAATTTCTAAACACGTAATATTGAAACAAATTTATTAAGAAAAATCTTTGCTGAATAGCAATTACTATTCATTCTTTTCTACACATTGGTAACGTTATTACTGAAATACTGAAATCCGGAATGATACATTTTTGACGGAAAACACGAGGTTTTGAAGTTTTAAAGTAATACCATTGACCTCTCTCTTTTCTAGGTAGTTGCAAACTGTTACTAACTATAGAAAGCTTTAAATGTACATATATATACGCGCATGATCTTTTTAGATGTGTAGTTCCTCGCGGTTAGAAAACGCGGCAACACGTGTCGCGATGCGTACCGCTATTTGGAATAACCAAGGTTCTGTAAAAATAATTAGGACACGTCGCTTTACTGGTTCCAAAATATGTATACTAGTTGTGACACTTTTTTGCTTCCACTTAGAAACGGATGTAACGCGTTTCAAATTCTGCAAACGACTTCACGCGGAATGTTTCGATATTTGTTAATGTCGTTTGAAACTTTGAGTTTTCATCTTCCATCCAACGTCGACGATGAATTCTAAATTTAAGAACACGAGATGTCTGATTTATTCATCATCATTGAGCGTATTTTTCTTCCGTAAAAGTGGTTGAAAAGTGTCTCGAATAATTCCTAACACGTTTCTGATAGCACGTACATACATATATAGTGGCTCAGTATATTAAATTAAGTGAAAGACATCGATCTAGGTACATACATAAGTACGTTAGTATGTGTCAATAGTCTGTGTATATTGGTAGTATAAAGTGGATTTTATTAATTTTGAAATTTTTACGTATTTTATCTGTTTGTACACACTTGTTTATTCAATAACAATTCGATACATGAAGTGAGAAAATTTTCAACTTGAAACACGTTCCATATAGAAACGTTACTGTATAATAATGTGTGAACTGCATTTCGAATTTCTCAATATCTCGAACGTTACGTCATCAGAATAGGATACCTGCTAATAGCAGATGATTCTCTAATTATTAGCAGACATTGATGATATAACGTGCGAATTCGTTGAAATGCTCGAAATATATTTCATACTGTATAATATATATTTCATATCTTACATATTTTATACTTTGTACCTCATACCAAATCGACTTGATCATACTATTTGGATGACCAACCCGGACAATATTGAATGTAGGCAAATACTGACAATAAGCTAGCAACAGTCCACATAAAAGTGGACTGTGAATAATTAGTCATAAGGGCAAGATCCAATAGTTGGTCATCTATGCTCCTTCCCCTTCCACTTGACGATGATAACCCAATATATATAAGGACATGCTTTAGAGACATTTCCCCTCTCGCTCTCTTAAAACATTCTAAATCATTATAGATTTATTCAATATCGCGCTCTCTGAAAACATTCTAAATCATTATAGATTCATTCAATATCGCTAACTCATAAAACATTCTAAATCATTCTGTATCGTTAAGAGCATTAGACATTCATCGTATTCTAAGACATTCTAAATCATTGTATATCATCCTATTTCATACACGACTACGACTGTAAGGGAATAAACTCTTCTAAATTGTAAACGTGTTGACTACACGGAATCCAACACTATTTATCTATTAACCTCAAAATCGTCTGATGAACGGGCAAGTCCAATTTCAATCAAAGCAACACATATCATCATTTTCGAAAACATGATACGTGCGTATTTTGAAGTACAACGATACGAAATGTGTGATTTTAACTTTTACCGACTAAAATTTAATTCTTGGTTTTACATCGCATCTTGAACTTCAATATCAAAAATAGTTCCGAAAGGCTTCGATGGCGGGTCGATATGAAACTTTATAGATAGTAGGGGAGGAGAGTGGGATTACTCCAAATATAGAATTTTTCTTTCTGATATTTGTTAATTTTCAAAATATTAATAAAGAATATTATAAATATTAATAAAAAATATAGTAATATAAAAATATAATAAATATTAATAAAAGATAGCCAATATCGGTCTCAATATCTACAGGGTGTCCTTTTTACAAATACTATTAGTGTGATTAAATTTCGAAACTAAAATTATCGTTTTTAAATTTGTTTGCATTGCTCAGTAAAAAAGTAGGAGTTGAGTGTACGTTTGTGTTGTACATTTTTTCTCATTTAGAATGTTATTTAACAAATTGATTCATATATTGATAATAAGGTGGTATTTCGGTTATTAAGATAAACAATACGCGTGTTTAAATAAATAATAAAATCTGTCATTTAAATTTCCCACCATATATTATTCTTTGAATTCATGAAATATGAATGTCGAAGTTACAATAAACGATTTTAGGACACCCTATATATATTGAAACCGACAGTTACCTGACAAGTTACACTCTTTAGTAAGAATGCTATCGTGGTAGTGTATGTCTACACCGAATTCAATCGTATCGAAAATTTTTTTATTAATATCTCAGAAATTAATAAATACCCAAAATTTTGCATTATGATCCTCCATCGTCTCAAAATTTCGGATCCTATACTTTTCTTCAAAATTAACAATTCTCACTTGTATCTCTTTGCCCGTCCAGAGAATTAATCCAACGCGTTCGACAAAAGTCAAAACGATCACTATAATTAGAAGATCGTTTACGTAACAACTGTTGTAACTGCTGCTAACCGTTTAACTGCCAACTAAAAACCTGAACCTAATTCTAATCTTAGACGTAGAAATCCTTCCAATGTTGTTTCACCTTCTTATGGTCACCTTCTCATCCCTTTTTTTTTATTTTTGATTAATTAATTACTTTAACTATTACTTGTTACTTTTCAGTAATCCAACTGTCAAGTTTTTTTTTTGCAATACAATTGCACTTGTACATTATATTATTATTATATTATTATTATTTAAATATTTGAAATATATATTTGAAATATATATTATATTATTATTATTTAAATATTTGACTTGTACAATTGCACAATAAATTTCCTTGAAATACAACTGTTTGAAACTCAAACAAGTATAATAACATAATAAATTTCACTCGATTTTTTCATATCGCGTTTGTCATGTTTTTCTTAAATTATAATGTAAATTATGAATCATAATTGAAACTGAAAACTGGAAACACATGCCGCTGAACAAATTGCAAGCCAATTCAGAACCAAAATCAAGAATTGATTAATCAGAAGTAAAAAAAAAATAATTACACGTTAATCGCGAGCAATCCTATGTGCTATATATACAGGGTGGGTCACCACGTATTGCCATCTAGATTTACGTCATTATTATTACGCGTAACGAAAAATGTTTCAGATGAAGTTGAATGGTTTCGAGAGGGGCACATTTTGATGATACTAGTTTTCTTGTAGGTGGACGTGTAGAGGACATACGAAGGTCATTAACGTTTTTTCAAATGGAATCATATATTTTTTATTTGATGCACCTTGATATCGACGAGAGAGTCACGATTTCCTAACAACATTAAAATTAAAATATCTTCGAAACTAATGATTTTTTTTAACATAAATAGGTTAACACTTGTAAAGAATATCAAGGTGCATCAACTGGTGCAATAAAAAATATATGATTCCATTTAAACAAACGTTAATAACCTTCATATGTCCTCTATACGTCCACCTACAAGAAAACAAGTATCATTAAAATGTGCCCCTCTCGAAACCATTCAACTTCATCTGAAACATTTTGAAACATAGATGGCAATATGTAGTGACCACTCTATATATATTATATTGGGTGTTTAGTAGAGGATAACGATGACCCTTCGTCACAGAGTACGACCTAGAATTTTGAATTCAAACTCAATGATGTTTTGTTAGTTTTGAGTCAATTGAATTTAATTATTGACAAACGAATCACCAATCAAAATTATGTTTGTTGTCCAACATAATGTAAGAATCCATTAAAACTCTATTATCTTCAAGCATAATTAATGCTGATCGTTTTTCATAGTGCAAGAAGTGAACTGTACGCGATTGCGTGAAATATCTGTTATAAACTGTTTGCTTACGTAAAAGAGATATAATATACATACGTGTATATAACACAATCTTGCATCCAGATTTTCCTGAGCTTTCATAGTTTATTTATTTCAATTACGTATTTTCTGAATATTTTGACATCAAGATTATGTAACTTGATTGTGTAATTTATTTCTGGGATTCTTGCTCAACTACAAAATTATTTAGACCTTTATAAAACTCAGCTTGTACGCTTGGTGAAAAATTTCCAATATTTTCGTGAAAAAGAAAATCGAAAGAAATTGAAGAAAGCACAACATTTTGCTACTTTAAGACTTTTGTTCCTTGTAAATCTATACGTGAATATCGCTGAAATAAAAAGAAAAAATTGTGATCTGCAAATTCAAGTTCGATTTTTTAAGGGGACAGGGCGGGCCTAAAAATTACGAATACTTTGGTGGGCTAGTAAAAAAAAAAGTACATATTTGATTGACATGATCTTTTGTGGTTTATTTTAACACACTATGAATTACAGAAAGCAACATTAAAACAGAAAAAAAGAGTGCTCTTATTTAACTTTTTAATGGCATCCTTTTACATAACTTTTTTTTATATTGCCTATCGGTGTGCATGATTCCAGGATTAGTTGCAACAAAAAGGTAAAAAAAGTTCAAAAGTAAACAATATTCTCTAGGAATTGACGATCCAACATTTTCATTTTTGTGAAAATACCATGCGATAGAAAAGTACTTAAAACCGTCAAGAATATTTTGTCTCAAAATTGCAATATTTCCTCAGTTTTAAGCATAACACAAAACAAATAATAAATTTATCACTTGTCAATAATTTCTATCCAGTGATATACCGACGAGTTCAAAAAGAAAGCGACGTATATGTATACGGTTCGGCCACTCGTTATGGTCCGCAATCAGTTGTCGGCGCAAGTAGTTGAATAAAACGACAAATTAAATTGAATTTTCTTCATCATCTCTTACATTTATGTCGTGTACATTATGTCTTTATTTTCTAATGTATTAAGTACATTATATATATCTATTTTGTATTTATTTTTTTTTAAATGAGAAAATAGCATGCAACAGAAAATATATATATTCATTTGTAGGAAAAATGTTGTCGAGAATTGTTCCCAATTATTAGCATATTTAAAAATTTATCAAAATCGACGAGGTCGTTCGTTTGGTAAACAATAATTTACCAATGTTCTTCTTAAATTAGTGCAATTTCTTGAAATTATAACCATGTAAGCATATATTGGCAAACAGTTTATCTATTAATAGTTTATCTTCAATAATACTTTTAGCGAAAAGATACAGAGAATTTTCAAATAAAGTGACACAAAATTAGCTCCTTTGTTAAATATATAATTAAGAATTCAAATTAATTTAAACATTAACGTTAAATAATATACAATTATCTATTAATATATTTTATTTTAATTATCAATTAATATATTTTTCTACATCTCGATAAAATCAAGTTTCCCAAATTTTGCCATCACGCAATTCTTTAATTCTGTTGAAAACAATTGTATTCCAGAAACACAAACATGTTTTATGACGTGGAGGAAAATTGATGAATTGTTCGATGTATTTATGTTTAGAAATGCGAAACCAGACACCAGCCGGAATATCGGAAGTTCAGCGTGGATCCGCAGATAACATCCATCGAAGTGCTTCAAAGTATACTCATCAAAGCTTTCGATATCAAAGGGTGAGATCGTACTACTATTAATCGTCGAGTGTATTATATCGCAAAGAAAAGGTACCTTTGGCTGACCAAAGTATGTACATATGTACATATTCAGTTTGGGCACCCGTTAGATTAGAGAAATGAAACTGCTTCCAAAACGGTTTGAGTTTTTCTCCTCATCAGTTGTGAAAACCAGAAACTAAAAATAAAATGTGATATCAGATGTTAACGATATGATATAAATGTGCTGTATACAGAAACATTAAAAAATAAATAATGTAATGTGAATATAAAATCTTACAAGTTAAATATAATTTTAGTATCTCGAAATCTTCTGGATTTTATTTGGAAATTAACATTCCATTAAGTGACAAGTCTGTTATAAATCCAGCAATACCTTTATTACTTTTGCGGCAAGGTTTTATTTATTATAGTATTATATTATTTCAAAGGAAAATAAAATAGTATTTTATTATATCGAAAGTATAAGTATAATAAAAATTTATTTATCAAGTGTAATAAAATTGTAAAAAATTTATATTCTTTGTTTTACTATCTTTATTTAATAAAAAAACTTATGAATTTTGATACTTGCTATTGAACGCAAATGAATGAAAAATATTAATTTTTCTCCCCCAACCCCCCCAAAAAAGTGATTTGAAATCGTTAAAGAAAAATTGTTTTATCGTCTTGAATATTTTCAGAGAATTCACTGTTTCTTACCGAGCAATAGATGACTATGGGTCAGAAACGTATCTATTCTTGCTTTCTGACTGGGACTTGGACGCGGCGTTTATTAGGTAAACTTTTCGTATCTAAAAATGAGAAACGATAAGACACTTGTGTCGCAGTTTAACCGATAACGCACATATTTCGTTTCGCAGCGCCTCTGAACCGTATCTATACCTGCAAGTTAACCTGAAGCCGTTCGGAGAGACAGGCGACTGCGAATGTTACTGGGAACAGAATGCACAGGAAGTGTCGACTCGACATGAAACCGGGTTTCCATACAAGACACCCAAGTTGGGTCTCATAATGAATAAGGCGAGCATCTCATTCGTTTTTCCTCACGACTCAACTTGCGGTTACTCGTCTTCTTTTCGAATTTCTTTCTAACGGATTTGTACACACGCGCAGTGTGCGCTATCTTTGAATTTTGTATAGTGAAATAAGCGTGTACGTATACGTTGGAACGTTTGCGATAGAATTGAAACACATAGATATGTACGAAGACGTTAAAAGCAACAAATTAGTTTCCAAAAAAGGCGTATTTCAAATATAGTGTGTAATTCATTCTATCTTTAAATAATAATTTGATTATGTAGCTCTGTGATACTTGTTACGTCTGGTAATACAAAATTCCTTCGATATTTTATACTCTTTTATTTGTATTATATTGTTTTTATGGTATCTGCACAATCTTACAGAGTTTTAATTTTAAATACGTAGAATATGTATTATGTAAACCAAAGCACAAGCTTCTAAAGGAATAAATACGCGAGAAGTTTTTTCTTAAAATTATTTTATGAAGCACTTTGAAGGTAAAGGTACTATTGGTAATTCATAAAATTTCAAAAAGTGGCTTGAAGCATGAAACAGGGATGTAATCGTGTTTTGCAGATGGAAAGAACATTAAACATGGTTCAGCGTGCTTTGGGCAATTTGAGCGAAGATTCCTCGCATCAGCAAAGCGCACAACCGCCACGACCGCCATTGACGGACGCAGAGTTCCGACGATTTTTGGACCCCATTGGACAAGTAATACATCCTAAAGAGCTAAGAGCTGTCATATACTTTGGTGGAATCGAGCCTAGCCTGCGCAAAGTGGTTTGGAAACACATCTTGAACGTGTATCCCGAAGGCATGTCCGGTCGTGAGAGAATGGATTATATGAAGAAAAAGTCGCAAGAGTATCAAAATCTGCGAGAAAGATGGAAAATCTTGGTGCAAAAGGGACAGAACGTCGGGGATCTGGCATATGTGACGAGCATGGTGCGGAAAGACGTTCTAAGAACGGACAGACATCACAAGTTTTACGGTGGTTCTGACGATAATCAGAATACGGCCAGTCTTTTTAATATCTTAACCACGTATGCCTTGAATCATCCGAGTGTCAGCTATTGTCAAGGTATGAGCGATCTGGCTTCGCCTTTGTTGGTCACTATGCGAGACGAGGCGCAAGCGTACATATGCTTGTGTGCTCTTATGAGAAGGTTGAAAGATAACTTTATGCTCGATGGAATCGCAATGACTACAAAATTTGCTCATTTAGCCGAAGGTACGTAAACCTGAGTATGAATCAAACGTCAGATATAAAAAAAAAAGTTGTAACGTAATACATAAACAGTTGTGAAAACGACTGTGAAAAGATCAAGGTATAAAAATATTTGTACGTACATTGAAAACAATCTTTTGATCGATCAGCGTTCAGTTCTTCTTTCGAATCGCGACCGTATAAACTATATTTACGTTTACGCAGCAATCGTTATGAACCTCATTTGCATTTTTTTAGGTTTACAACATTACGACCCAGACTTTTACGCTTACTTAAAATCCCATCAAGCGGATGATCTATTGTTCTGTTACCGATGGCTTTTGTTGGAAATGAAGCGTGAATTTGCTTTGGACGACGCTCTGAGAATGCTCGAGGTTTTGTGGGCTGCCTTGCCGGCGTCGCCGCCAAACGGAGAGTTAAATTTGGCCGAAGTACCTTTTCCTCCACCTTCGCCGCCGCCGAGCCCAAACGTGAAACATATTCGTGAAAACGCGTACACGAAAGTTTGCGCCATCAGGCGACAAAGTTCTTCCGCGAGTATCGCTACTGCTGGCAAAAGAAAAACTCTAAACATGGAGGACCCATCTTTGCAAAACAGAGACTCTACAGAAACTAACGGTGACTCAAAAAGGTACTTCTATGCAGATCGGTGAAAGCAGTGCGATAGAAATAATAATGTAAAGTGAAACTCGCTGTCTACAGATCGAGCTCTCCTTACGAGACGTTTTCTGAGCCAGAGAATGATTTAACAACAGCGAAAAACCGGAGAAACACAGAATCTACGGAAAAGTGCCTAAGTACAGATTCTCTGTCTGGTAGATCGAAACGCGTAAACTTGTCGGAATTGAGAGAAAGACTGTCGTTACCTAGCAGAGATCAAACTAGAAATAGCGAGAACGATGGCGAGAAGAAATGCGCTCGAGTAGTGAAAAATTTGAACGAATTTTTGAACTTTACGAGCCTGAATCGTAGCAAAGTAACGCCAAGCGATGCCGAGCCAGAGTTGAGGTGAAAAACGATATATTTTCAAACAGTAAAAATACTATCATTTAGTTTTTCTTATCTTAGCCTTCTCCTCAAATAAACATTAGGTAAAAATAATTTTTCACAACTAAAAAATGTATTATTTTATTTTAGGCGTGTTTCCAGCGAAAGTGGTGTAATTAGAGTTCTGAGAGACGAGCCAAGTTCTCCGGACGATCCAACGGATTTCTTTCCAATGACTACTTCAATGACTAGAGAATTAAGACTGGAACTTGAATCGCTCGATCGGCAAGTTTTCGGACCGTCGCCGCCAAGTGATCAACAATGCGATTGCGTTCTTTCCAAAAGAGAGAGCGACTTGGTCGATAGCGAAACAGATACAGAGTTGGCAAGGTGTAGTCCAGCTGCCGATGTGTTTGTATGGGAGAATCCCCTACACACGTTGCAGCAAAAGAACCACCCAGCTACTCCTGACGAGCAAGCGGAGCTCGAGTACGACGGCGAGATATTGGAAGACCAAAATGGCGTTAAATCTGTCACTCCGATTAGATTACTCAAACGTACTACAAGGTATAAAACCGACTTTTACCATTAATGTTAACAAAGTATTTTAGCATACTTTGAAACACTTTGAAAATTACGTACGTAGGTCCGAATCTGCTTCGGATAGCGAGGAGGCGGAGAGCTGGCACCAAAGTACAACGGTGCAAGAGAGTCCAATAAAACAGTCGGTGCAAGAACACTGCGAAGAAGCTACGGAACTTACGAATCTCATTCCAGCGGGAACTTGCGAAGATCAGTTGGGGGAAAGTTCTCTACCTCCGCCTCACGAATTTGGCGGTGGTAATCCGTTTCTCATGTTCCTGTGCATTACCCTGTTACTGCAGCACAGAGACTTTGTTATCCGCAATCAAATGGATTACAATGAAATGGCAATGCATTTCGATAAAATGGTTCGCCGACACAACGTCGTTCGAGTGCTCAATCAAGCGAGGCAACTGTTCGCTGGTTATCTCAGAAGGCATTCTTCGTCGTCGTTAGCTGCAAAGTCAGATTCTGTAAATGTGTAACCTCGTAATGCTTGAACGTTGTACTTACCGACATCATATATCACGCGGAATAATAACGAAATGGACAATTTTAAAATATATCGTGCCGCTTGAGACAAATCACAAAAAAAAAAAAAGAAACAAGTTCAAAATATGTTTTTTAAATCTAGAAGGCGAACCAAAACAATTCTGTAAATGAAACAAAATATCAGATGAAATACGTATCAGTGATAAACTAGGCAATAAGAAATTTAAATAATCTCAAGGTGCTGCTTTAATCATGCGTAAAAAATCAAGTAACAATCCTCGTGTATTCTTTTAAACGTTTTGATCGAACGTTGTATGTGTATGTTCAATTTGAATCTTATTTTCGCCGTTTGACGAAGATATATTTCAAGATACGATGATTTTTATATTGTTTATTTGCATTTATCTACTCTTACTGCCTATCGATGAGTTACTTTTTTATTAATAAAAATTTATTTTCCTAGAAAAAGATCATTTTAGCTTGAAAGGGTGAACCTTCCTGGTAATCACGTCTAATTAAATACAATACGAATACGCGTGTAAACGAATACAATTGTAATTATCATTAATTGCAGTGTGATAGCAATTGAAAATAACTCGTATTTCGCATAGTTTACGAAACTAAACGGAAACATGGTGGAACGTGTCTTTGATGTTACAACGGATTTTAAAACGTAATTGTGACGAGAATGGCACGACGATTCAATCTATTTAACCTGCGATTTAACCATTCTCCGACACTATGCACAATACCAATTGCACCGCATTGACAAACCCTTTCACCGTATCTCGATTTAAAATTAAGTGATTGGCTGAACTTTGTAAAATACCCATTACCTGTTAATTTAGTAGCTGTATCTTACTTTGTTCTCAAACAATATGTTTGAGAAACGACAATAAACTACATTTAATTTTACCGCTAATCGTTTAAGTATAAACATTCTTTGTAGGGTTTGGGTTAGGTTACGAGAGAAATTTACTTTTTACATTTTATATTTTATTTTAAACAAGCTAATAATTTACATATAATTTTATAATACAACAGAAAATATATGCATGTAAAAGCTTATTTATCACAATATAATTTTAAATTTAATACTAAATTACATTTTTTAAACGTAGTATGAAAGTAAAACTCCATAATTTTTGTATATGCTACCAGGAGATCAGATATTTACCATTCTTTTACTTTTGTCTCCTATTTCCTCCACCTGCTATTATCGTGAGAATTCGTACAAAGATGTTTACTACATCCATATAAATAGCAATCGCGCTGAAATAAAAAGCACAAATATGTACAAACTTGCACGTGCATTTATCAAACGTTTCATTTCATCAAATTACTTACTTATTAATTGGATCGTACGGCCTCATGAGATGGTCGTTCATTGGATACGTTTCTGCTTGTCTGATAACTCTTTGCGTATCGTGCAAAAGAAGCATGGAGAATAACACCAGACCACCATATAGAGATATTGAATATAAACCAGCTCCAAGAGCTGTTGTAGGTGGCAAAAACATTGATCCAACGCTACTTGCAAACACAAATCCCAAACCAATGGCTAATGGGCCTCCCATTTTCAAAAATTTTTCATTTGGGGCACAGACGGCAACCATTGATAAACCACCAACTACACCAGTGGTATACCACGCAGCTCTAAGTACCAGAGGTCCTCCGAGTATGTACAGAGGTGCGAGAAATGCACCTACAGTACCAGTATGAATCAACCATGCTATTTGTTTCGTTCCAAAACCTTCTTGGTATGGAAGAACCTGCAGTAATATTCCACTACCCCAAACAGATGCCAATGTTACCAACATAGCGACCCATCCTTGACGCATTACCAAGTTCATCATAGTTGGTGAACGTAAACATAGTGCTGCAGCTACAGCACTGCTTGCTATAGATGCGCCAAAATACATGTACGTATTCCTAATTCTATCCTTTACATATTGGGGCCATAACCTACGAAGAAGGTAGGCATTTATTTCATTATGTTTCCTCTTATTATTTTACGATTAATGATATTTCTGTTCAAAGAAAATACTTCGCGTAATCTATGGCTCCCATAGATGGTGACAAACCCAAACCATAATAGCACAGTGAACCTATTCCTAGCACAGCACTACCAGCGACAACTCCTTTTCCGATAGTGAATGCTACGGACATAAAAATGTTTTCAGTAATAATTTTAAAATATTTTAACTTGCTTCAATATTATGTATAGTGTGTATATCATGTTGAACAATGAAAAAGAAATATTTAAAAATTATATTTTATTTCTACTTTCAATTGATGAAGCAACAGTCAACAAACAATTTGATGCAATTTACTTGAAATAACCTAAATCACACGATTGCGTGTGATTGCATCACATTGCACAGGTTCCCTCCGTACTTTTGCAACATTTTGCAACGTTACTTTTGCAAATTGAAATCTCACCAGTTTCTCCTGCAGGAGCCATCGCCTGCTCCGATATTGTAGCTGACCTACGAGCAGATCTTGTAAATGTACCGCGTCCATCATTAGCGAATAATCTGGTAGTTTGAATTCTCGGAATAAACGATTTTGAACTAACTGGAGTCTTCAGTAGACTGACCAAATTTGGCGTAACAGTACTCCGACATACTCTAGCGAGCATCATTTTTGCATGTTATTCTCTAAAAAATGAAACGTCTATTAATAAAAACATCGATGACAATCGTACGTTACATGAGAAGTATTCACACACGATTTTCCAACAAACTATATTATTACTAAATCTTGGATAATTTTCACATATCTAACAGGATGTACGTGTTTAAAATTCTATATTAATAGATTTTTTGCAAAAATTTCTTGCGATTACTCACGACGTAGTAAGCAGCAATTGTTCGTGAAAAATCAATATATCGAACTGCTAGCAATTTCTACGATGTATGCCTGAAATAATCGTATTGCATACAGATAGTAAACACTGTGAAAAGATGTGCGCGACTAGGATGCCATCTTCAGTGATATTTAAATCAGTTTTTAGACAGACTAAACCAGTTTCGAGGCTGAATTTCGTTTTTGACAAATGGAAGCGAATAAAATAATTAAATAAAACAAACGAATAAAAAAATTTGAGCAATCAGTTTAGGTTAGGTTTAGTTGCTACATTGGACTAGAAACAAATCAACATTTTATGAAAGATTAAATAAGTGAGCATTTATCTGAATTTCAACATTTAAAATCCTAAATTTTAAATCCTGAATTTATTTAACTCTCATCTGTTTTTTGTGTCGACCTGAGATATTTCTCTTTTAAAATCTATAAACGATCATGAAATGATACAAAATACAGTATCTGTATCTCAAACATTAAGTTATACGCTTACTTATTGAATAGAAATCTATTTACTGTTAATAAGAGAATCTGCAGATTACTATTTACATATTTTTTTATTGCAGGTATTATTAATTCTTTACTACACTTTTAGTGTGTCAATTTAATGCCAAGTACAAGTTGGGAAAATTAAGACAACGAGTAACTATTAATAAATACAAATAATTTTATGAAAGTGTCGTTTCTTTTTATTAACTGATTTATTACTTTTCTGATTTAATTTCCTTTCGCATTAAAACCACATGCATTTGTATACAGTCACTGAATTGACTTATTCCATAGACTATACAATACATCAATCTGATATTTCTACAATAAATACAATATGAATTTTATACATACGTATAAATATACGTTAAAACTCGTATTTTTGTTAAAATTTATCATATAATCAAAAAAATAAATCACAAATTCAATCGATCTCAGAAATAAATTACATTTCGAAACGATTTACATACTACGTTCATCAAGTTCAAAAAAATGTATGTCACTTCAAAATACATGATTACATCTAACATTGTAAAACATATTATATCATTTAAAATATAAAGTACATCTCTTAACACAGTACATAGTAAATAAAAATAAACGTTACTGAATATCAAGGATAACTATAAAATTATGTAGTTAAAATATTACTTCCGGTTAATTTCGTACATTTATACGTGGCAACGTTGCGTCTGTTTAAACCAGCCAATCAAGCGCAATCCGCATTGACGAAACGACCAATCGTGTTGTTGAAGGGATGTACCCATAATGCATTGAAAACGAAAGTACATAGTGCGACTGTGTGACGATTCTCTAGTAGATTTCGACTTTGTTCTCTTCGTTGTTGGACGCCATAGCGAACGCTTCGTTTCGCAGGGAAGTGGCGAGCGAGTGTTATACTTTTTTTTTTCCACGAAGAATTTTGCTGTTAACAATTGCTGTTTTCCATTCGAACGGACAATGGCAGGAACTGAATCGCCTAATTTAATAAAACCTGAACCGCAGAACACATCTACGGAAAATAGTAACGAAAATGTACGGGAACGAAATCCTCCCGGTGGCGGTAATCGCGGTCCGCGTGGTCGAAAAGGAGGAACACGTTTTTCTGGTGGACGTGGCGGTGGAATGGGCGGAGGAAACAGAAATAACGATGGACCGGTAAGAATTTCATATATTCCTTTTTTATATACGTATATTTCGAAATTATGCTCTTCACACTTCCGCCATATTTGCTGTAAACTGATGCGTAATATGACCGGTTTTTTATATTAACACTTATATTTCTTCAATAAATCGAACGTCGTTATTCGTAATTGCAATTTTTATTTGTTCGTTACATATTTAGCGATTTACTGTAATATTACAATTGAAATAACGCTAATGTATTTTTGTCATACTGTGTACTATATAGTTGACTATATCTTAAAAATATGCACTGAACGTAATTATTAATTTACAAGTAATTGGTAATTGTACAAACATTTCTTAAATTACATATTAAGTGTATATCTTAAAAGACGAGCGCTGATAAAAAATAAGCATTTTTTTTAAATGTTATGAATAATTTTATTACGTATGGGTAAAATTTATCATCAATAAAAATCGTTCTTTACCACATTTCTATATGTTGGAAATAATTAATGTATATATTGATTTTTCGTCAGTGTAATACAAAATGGCGCGTACGAAAATTAAGATGGTAGAAGAGTATTCTTAACTTCACGACACGTGGTTTAAAAAATTTTAATTGTCTATCGATACCCAAGTCGATACCAATCTTTATTAGCGTACTTGGAGCAAATATAAATTTTTTAGGTTTTAAGTAGAAATTTGAAATTAAACATTATTGAAAATTTGAGCTAATTTAACTACTCTAGTGCTGATAACTCAATAATTTATATGTATTAAAACATGCAAAAGTATACTAAATTAACAAAAGTATTTAAATATACGATTTCTATCGTTTCAAAAATTGTCAAATTATAAGATTTTCAACATTCGTATTTTAGTGCAGAGATAATGTAAACTCTTTGAGAACTATGAGTGCATATATTTGTTCAGAAAAATAAGTCACAATGTCAGTTGAAAGGGTTTATTTAATCATTATTGATGATCTTCTTAGATCAGCTCTTTTAATATGATAGTACATTTGATCTGTATAAACGTATATGTATGCTGTAGTATTATATAAAGTTTAAATCTTGAAAATTTAATGCAACCCTTTGCACTTGGCAATTATTTTTAAATTTCATTGCAACAACTTGATAATTGTTACACATGATGATATATAATACACATTTACAATTTAACAATATTACATATTAACAATCATCTTGTAAAAAATGATTATTAGACTACAGATTTTTATGTAAATTCATATTTTTTGAAATTACAATCTCGGTAGAAAGTTGTTTTATATATTGAGTGTTATAATAGTATTTGGATATTTTGTAAAGTATGTACATTATATGTAATTTTACATATTAAAATTATCTAGAAATGCATAAAAATATGCACTTTAATGGTTAATGTGATGGCTATGATATATTATTATCTAAATTATAAATATATATATGTATATATATAAATATATTGCTCTTAAATAATTATGTACAGTCAGAATATTGTAACTATGTACATTAATATTTAGCATACCTGGCATTCCACGTACAAAATGAAAGTTAGCATTACATAAAGCTTAAGCCTACAAAGCTTTAACACTTACGAGTTTCATGTTGAGACTCTAGAGATTAAAGCAAATTAATAATAATACTTCCTATTATAAGAAAATAACAAATGTTTGTCTTTTTATTTATTTTTTTATAAAAAGATATTTATGATTTCAAACACATTGAAGCTCGTTTTGCTTCAATTGCTTGTTTCTTTTTTGGAATAATTGTGGTTAGTACTGACAAAATATCCAAAGCAGTTTGACTTAAAGTTAGAAACATGTTCTTCAATGATTAGATTCAAGTTTTTATATTTTATTAGATTTGATTGTTAAATATGGTATGTTTGATTAAAATGATACGTTTTACTTTAATTATTTTATTTTATTGGTCTTTGAATATATTTTACATCAATAATGATGTATTCTTAAACATGTCAAGTAAAAACTTTGAATGTATATTAAGAAATTTTTATTTAATATAATAGATATACTTATAAATCTAATATGTAAATTCTTCTTCAACCTGCAAGGAGTGACCATGAATAATAAAAAATATTTTTACATGTTCTATTATTTTTCTATATTTGTAAAAGACTTTTACAATGGCAGATACGTCTTAGTACTGCCTTCTAAAAAAAAACACAATGTTATAAAATTAATATCCAATCTTGTTTTTAAAAAAAAGCAAGAAATAGAGTTTTGTTTCTATATTTTTCTCTGTTTGTTGCAATTTATTACACATGAAATTTAAAGTATCATGATAGTATTTAAATAGACAAATTATTGTCTTTAATTTTATTGCAAATAATTTTAATACTCTATAAAGAATATGAAGTTTTATTTAGATTTTGGAAAAGTGTTAAATCAAAATTTGTTACATTTATTATAGATGCATCTATTACGCGCGGATGTTTTGTTTATTTCTACTGACAATTTTTTGAACGGACTATAATATCAATAAACTTTCTTTGTGGTTTTTTTTTTTTTTTTTTTTTTACCAACCGTGTTCTCAACCAATGTTTTTCTATTCGAGTTTATTCAGAAGTAAGAAAGAAGATCCACAAAACGTAAACAAGAGAGATAATTGTACATACAAAAATAAGTCTGAAAGAAAGAATGAAATTTTATCAAGTATTGGAATTTAGCTAATATCAGGATGTGAATAATCAGTGAGAGGTTACTCTAAGAGAAAAATATAAGAGGTTACTCTAAGAGAAAAATATAAAATTTTTATTTTATAAAATATTTTTTAAATAAAAAATTTTTATTTTATAAAATTTTTTTTAAATAAAATTTTTATTTCAAGGTCTAACGCCTTACTTTAAAAAAAATTGAATTCGTATATGTTTAATCGAAAATTGGCTTATAAGTAGAAGTGCGTATTAATATTGTATTTTATTACAGTAGTTGATAAACTCTTGAACTTGGTTTTCTCGACGTAAAAAAGATGGAACAAAATTTATCCTCTCTTTTTCGATTCATTTTTGCATGTAGATTGCTCAATCGGTTTGTGATACATCCTGCATATAAATATTCAAATCCTTATTCTATTTCGTATGATTAGTATTATCTCATTATATTGGAAATATTGGGACATGATTGGGCCGAGTCAGATTTCCCGAAAATTCTGAATATATTATATTATGTTGTATTATATTATGTTATATATTATGTTATGTTATATTATATTATATTATATTATATTATATTATATTATAAAAGATAAAAAATAATTCATAAAATATATCATACCTAGACGTAACATTTTATTTAAAATTTTCGTATAAAAACGCTAGTTTCCGAGTCACCCAATTCTGTAGAGAATCCAAATCTGAAAAAATACCCAATCCAATCTGATATTTTCGAGTTCTCGCCCATCATTTGCTAAAAATTTCGTCACTTCGCATATAATGCGATTAAAAAATTGCTGAAAAAGATTCATTTGTGAAATGATTGTTTCAGATGAAAATGAACGATCCCATTCATGGAAGTATGGATGGAGGTATGGACAGTGCAATGAATGAAGGAATGGGTGGGGGTATGGGAGGTGGTATGGGTATTGGACGCGGTGGTGGAATGCGTGGTGGTAGAGGTGGTCGCGGAGGTATTGAAAGAAACATGGCAAACCGCTCACAAGATGTAAGTATAAACTAGAAAAAAGTCATGTTTTATTTTCTCAATTGAACAGGAGTATACATTTCACGTGATCTTTTATTCAAATGAAAGTCAATAGTAAGCCATTATAAGTTATAAAAATATTTCTCATACATTATTACATTATTGTTCATTACATTAAAAAAATGACGATGGAAATTTACAAACTCAAAATCAAATCTCATTCGTCATTGTCATTGGTATTGTATTTTAAAATTTTACACGTTTCTCTTTTAATTCTTGTTATTTTTGCAAAATTTTGCAAATGCGTAATCGGAAATATAACGGTCATAACAGGCCATGAATTAGAAATAAACGTCCAAACATTAATCTATATGTATTAATAGATGTATTTTTTTTTCCTCGTTCATAATAACTTGTAATCTTTTATTATAACAGTATCCATATTTTTGAAATATTTAGGATCGGTTGATGGAGCGAATTATGGCTATTAGCGGGCCTACGCACGATCTACCACCTCAAGAAACCACAGAAAAGAAATTCAGTGGTCGTAATCGTTTATATATCGGAAATTTGACAAACGATGTCACGGACGAAGAAATTCAACAGATGTTTCAACAATACGGTGAAATATCCGAACTTTTTGTAAATAAGGAAAAGAATTTCGCATTTCTTAGAATGGTAAGAGTCCAATTTTTTTTTAAATGTTTTTTAATGTTTTTATACAAACAAAATGATTAAAATAATTACCGTTTGACAGAAAATGATAATAAATTTTGGCTGTTTTTTATATATGATTGTTTTACATTTGTTATATATATGTGTGTGTATAACATATATCGTGTTAAACTATAACTTATTTTCATTTTACAGGATTACAGGGTAAACGCCGAGAAAGCAAAACACGAATTGGATGGTACAATGCGAAAAGGACGTGCGCTCAAAGTGCGTTTTGCTCCTTACTCACAAATTAAAGTTAAGAATCTTACACCTTGGGTGTCGAACGAATTACTCGAGAGAGCATTCAGCGTCTTTGGTGAAATTGAACGTGCGATAGTTATTGTAGATGATAGAGGGAAGTCTACCGGAGAAGGAATCGTAGAATTTTGCAGAAAACCATCAGCTCAACTTGCTCTACGAAAGTGTACGGAAGGATGCTACTTCCTTACGGCGTACGTCTTTTTACTGTAAATAAAAAAAGTTGTTCCCTGTCCCCAAAGCCACGCTTGTTGACGAACTGATTTTCTTAACGAGTGCCAATATTTAACATATTGGGGAAGAGAAAAATAATTCCCGATGGAAGCATGATACAATATATGTTTGTATTGTGTGCCGAAGATTGGAATACAAAATTTCATTTTAAAAATAATTTTATTGACTCGAAGAAAGTATGGCAAAATATATGAAATATTTATTTTACAGGTCTTTACGTCCCGTAGTTGTTGAACCATTTGAGCAACAAGATGACATTGATGGTTATCCAGATAAAACCTTGCCTCGTAAAAATCCAGAATTCTTTAAAGCTCGTGATATCGGACCAAGGTTTGCGCAGATAGGAAGTTTCGAACATGAGTATGGAACGAGGTGGAAACAGCTCCATGAATTGTACAAACAAAAAGAAGAAGCGTTAAAGAGAGAAATGGCAATGGAGGAAGAAAAATTGGAAGCTCAAATGGAGTTTGCACGATATGAACACGAGACTGAATTGTTAAGGGAGCGTAAGTATTTAAAAGCAATTAAAAAAATATTGCTTTGATATTATAAACAATGTTTCTTGTTTTATAAATCGATCTTGATTAATTGCAGAATTGCGCATGCGTGAGGCCGATCGCGAGAGGCAAAAAAGAGAATGGGAAATGAAAGAAAGACAGGCCGAGGAACAAAGAACGCGCGAAGAAGAATTACGAAGGAGACAGCAAGAAGAAATGGCAATGCGTATTAGAAGACAAGAAGAAGAGCTACATAGGCGTCAACAGGAAAATAATTTGTTCATGCAGGTGATTATATTAAGAGTTTTGATTAAAGAAAATTTTCGTGATAATAAATTGAAATTTGAATGTATCTATACTATAAGGATAATTGATAAATATCAAATTATTTTAAAGATTATTAGATTATTAGAAAATTTGTATATTTGAAACAGTATTTATTTTCTTTTATTTATTATTACCATCATAGAGAAAGAAATGATAGCGTATTATATTATTTTAAAGTATTTAAAAATTGTTTATGATATTTAATTATTAATATATTGTTTACTAATGCTTAGGGTTATATTCCTTTTAAATTTAAGGAACAAGCGATGAGGGGCGGCGGAGGAGGTGGAATGGGAGGAAAAAATTATGATTCCGTCAGTAATAGTGATCGTGATGGATATGGACAGCCTGATGGTAAGTACGTTGGTTTCAAACGTTTGAGAACATTTGATTAAATTAAATGTTGAATTTTTATTAATATGCATACGAAATAACAAATTTGCAAATTTTAATATTTCTCTCTAGCATAAAACGCTATCTATTTAATATCATTGAATTAAATTAATTTTTCTTTCAAAAAATTTGTATTTTATATTGGTCTTATATATTTTTATCAAATATAAAATTTCTGTACGGAACACTTTCTTAAAACTATTCTTAATTCTACATTTTACTTTATTGTAGGTGGAAGCAGCATGCCAGTGGTAATGTATCCATTTAAATTATCATTTTATAAACACGTATATACACATATATATATATTTTTTTTTTCACAAGTTATTTGAATTTTCTGAAGCCATTTCTTTGATAACCTATGTGCATTTCTATTTGACGATTCTACGAAACAAATTATACATATATAGGGAATTTTTTGCTAGAAAAAAATTAGGTTGTGTCTTTGCATGGTAAAAAGAACCATTCTATTGCTAGCAAACACTTTTGCGAGAAACATAAGTAACAAGAAGTTACGAATTTCCATGAAGCATGCTTTTCAATATAGCAGGGTTCTAATGTCTGCAACAATGCCAACCAGATTCAAATTAAAATCAGATTAATATCATATACGCATCTCACATTACAAGTTTAATCAATTGGCTATAACATGTGGAGGTGTCAATGGGCATTACAATTAAAATTTTCTACTAAACAGGGATCTATTTCCCACTGTGACTCTGTCTTCATGAAACTGAAGTATTGTTTCGTGATCTAATAAGGAAAATATTCATTACACCTTATATTTGAAATCTTTTATCTACCTTCATATAACATATTACCGCACTTCTTTCTTTTACAAGAACACGTGTCATTTTTTCTACATACTGCTATCAACTGTAAACAACCATTGAAGCGTATTATATTTTTCACGTTTCATGAAATTCTTATAAAAATTTTATTAAGATTGTTTTATATCTTGAAGTATCTATTTGGAAGATTTTATCATGGTGACATTTATTAATATTCAAAGCTGTTAAATTAACCGCGGGTGTTCAAAACTGATAAATATATAAAAATTTGAAGAAATGTTAGGGAATTGTTATTAATTCTACGTGTATAATTTAAGATACAAATTACCTAGGTAGGTTAGGGCCTTATTGTATAAATTCTTTCACTATGTGCTTGAATCTTTAATTTTTTAATTGTACTGCAAATTACAACAGTACATTTAAACAGCAATCATTATTTCTATGTACACCGTACATGACCAATTCTTGAGGACTTGACTTTTGCCCGTAGGATATGAATTTTATCCTATGATTTTTAAATATCTGAGGGAATCTGGTTTTTCTAGTTCACTGATAACATGATCTATTCAATTCGAATAAATCCTTTATAAACAAAACTTGGAAATTTTTAAATACGACAGGGATATATTTTCTAGGCATTTATCAATGAAATATATCAATAAGAGCTAAAACTGAATTAATACTTTATGCTTCATTGGTTTCTCCATATGCTTGCAGACAGAAGGCTCTGTTCTATTTTCTCTAGTTATATTAAAAAATTAGCTATGTTGCATAAAAGTTACTATGGAACTAATATATAGATCTTTTAAACGCACAGAAATCTGGAAAAATCCGGTTAAAATTAAATTTATATATATCTACGTTTAAATAGTTCCATAGTAATATGTTATTAACCAACAAATGCCCAACATGAATTATTAATAAAATATAGTCGGTTATATTCAGAAACTATATTTATTTTTTCCTTATAAAGATGTTATTTAAAGTTGAAGTATAATTTAAACATCGTTTCTGAGTATAACGAAATTAATTTTGATTTACAATAAGTAACAAAGCTTAAAATAATTTTTATTGTACATAATTTATACTCGAGGGAATATATCTTCAAGTTTTTATCGTTGTATCAATCTGTGTGAAGTTTTTATATTTTAAATTACGTATTATAAACTGTTATATATATAATATTACATATTACATTAATACGTGTACACAATTCTGTATTATATATATTGTATAAAGCTTGCTTAGAGATCCTGATCACGTCTCTTTGCCGCTTGTACCAATATTCAAACTTCAGAATTGTGCAAAATTATACCAATATTAACCACAACGTTATCGCTACTGATGCGTAACTAACACGACACGATACTTGTTATTCTTACAATAGAACGATCGTGTTTTTGGGAGGTGTTGCAACTAAATGTTAGGCATTTTAATTAAAAATCTCGTATGCAATTCATGGGCTCCTTTCTAGTTTCTACTCTGTAGACGCATAGAAGTAAGTCTAACGAGCACTTGGAATTAATTTGGAGTCTGACATCTGCTGCGTTAAAAATTTTTTTTTTTTTTTAATAATCTCAGAGGAATTTTCCTAGTGACGCGTGGCGTGACAAATACCATTTTAATTAAATTATAATAGGAATTTAGTGATATATACCCACTTTAATTCCGAAAGCAGTACTAAGCTTTTAATTGTGATTTATGAAATTAAGGGTGAATTTAAATGAACAAATTCATGCGAAACAATGCATATGCGAAAGAAGTATTATATTATACAGAGTACTCGAATCTCTATTTCACGAAACGTGTACCGACGTCGATGATGATTTGTTCAATCATTGCCGATGGTATGTTGGGCATTTGCTTGGTTTAATAAGACTAATTGGTACTGAGAGAGAAAGAGAGAGAAAAAAAAGATATACTCGGAAAGCAGTATAACATTATTCGTATCTATGATCTGTTTTAGCGCGTGTGTTATTCACACATTCCATTCTACTAATGTTGTACGTACAAACAACATCTAACATTGTGTTTCCCCTTTCTTTTCTATGTGATTTGACGAAAATTGACGATGACCTGTGCTGCTGTGAAACATGGATGGTCGCCCTGAACTGTGAAATGTATTTATGGTACATCCAAAATCTACAAAACACCGTTGTTCATCGTATTAAACGAAAATCGTTGGCATATCATTTCGGTGACATTATCGGCACGTGACTTTTGGACTGCTCCGTCCTTGAAATATCGTTTTGCCTTTACTTTTGACGCGCAACCGTAATTAAATTCACATTTCTCTGCTATGATGATTAGGATCCAAAGTCTTTCATGGATGCTTATAATAGTATGGATCGTGGTAGCCGTGGGGGTTACAATGACGATCGTAGTCAAATAATGGATTTGATGGACATGAGGGTCGATATGGGTAATATGGGTGGTGGTCGTGGAGGTAGTGGTGGCAGTGGACGTTGGCAAGGTGGAAATGATCGTAATCGTCAGGATGATTATCCTAACAAACGAAGACGTTATTAAAAATGTTGCCGTAACATTGCAGCATATTCAAATTGTATACCGCCTTCCACAATTGAGTATTCTGCTCTTTTTTTTTTTTTTTTTTTTTTTTTTTTTTTTT